GAGTGCTGCACATGCTCATACTTTTCATGCTCTTACTTTTCATTTGGCCAACATTTCTAAAAATCATTTTTTAAATTTGTCTTAAGCAATATTCTAATTTTCTGAGATACTGAATTTGGGGTATTTTTCATTAGGTCAGATATAACATCAACATTAAAATAAATAAACATTTGAAATATATCATGTAAATTATAGCCGAACAGAACCTATGAGAATCGTGCTGCTGCTGTTCGGTGTATTGTTTTGCACAATTAGTGACTGGCATATATCTTAGATCTTTTAGCATACCATTTGTCATTCGTTTAGTGTATATCTAAGTTTATATCTCAGATCCTAATTTACTGTTTCTTTTTACACTGTATATTTTTGCTATTGTTTGATGGGACCCTGTGTACACAATTTCGTTCCACCTCATGTACGACGTGATGTGATTCACATCACATGTCATACATAATTTAATGCTGAGAGAGGAGGGGGGAGGCTGCAGTCCCTCTTGAAGACAAACACGAAGCAAGTTTCCACTCATAAATTGAAGCAGTTTGACGCTGCACACGTGAACCCCGTCTGTGGGCGTAACCAGCACCATAGACGTACGGCTGTAGGGCAGCTCCATACAGCTCTGGGTGTAAACACGCAGTCTGTTTGTCATGTCTGGTGTTTTATCTGCCTGCGTGCTGAAACCACGTGACACGTTACATCCAATACTGAAACTTGACACCGAAAGAAGAGTGACGTTTCAATCCATACACCGACCGGTGCAGTTTGGTCGGTGCCATAAAATAATCTCGGTTCGGTACTCAGCCCTAGATGTGAATGGCAATAAAGATCATTTAATCCTTGAATCAGTCTGTGTGTAATGAGTGAATTTAATATACAAGTTTCACTTTTTGAATGTAATTACTGAAATAAATCAGCTTTTTCATGATATTCTAATTTAATGACCAGCACCTGTAATCTAGGAGCAGCTTTTCAAAAAGTTCTGACCTCTCTGAACCTCAGTTTGGACCTGGCATCTCCAGGAGCAGCTGATCAGCTGAGCTGAGGCACCAGATGAAGCATCAGAGAGGTAGTGTGAGACAAGGCCATTTAAATATTTAAAAACAAATGAAAGAACCACCAAAGTCCAAGATGAACAGGAAGCCAGAGTGGGGGTGTTGTGCTCCCTCTTACACACTCTGGTTAGAAGTCAGGAGCAGCATTCTGGACCAGCTGGAGAAGTCTGATGGAGGACTGGCTGAGTCCAACGAAAAGAGCTGTGTAATAATCAAACCGCGATGTGACAAATGCAGGTGTTGCTGTTTCAAATTCTCGAGTATGAGAAACTGCTTTACCTTTGCCAGCTGCCTGAGATTATGAAAACTGGACTTGGCTACTGTTGCATGCTGGTAATCTAATCTAAAGTTACTGTCCATTTTAAAACCCAAATTAGAAAATAATTGCTTTTGCATGTGGCGTCAGGGGATCCAGATCAACTGGGAAATGTTCACAGGAGCCACAGGGACATCATGTGACATCATCACTTCTGTTTTCCTGTTGTTAATAAATAAATAAAAATTAGAAACATCCAGGCTTTGATGAATTAAAGACACAACAGAAATAGCCTAATTGAGAGGGCATATTGTTTTCATATATATCTGACAGTAGGGGTGCACTGATAAATCGACCGGCCGATTTATCGGCACCGATTTCCTTAATTTTGGGAAATCAGCCAATGCTTGTATGAGAAACCAATTTTACCTATTTTTTTTTATTATTTTTTTAAGTTTTCACAACAATTGTCTGAACTTCATTTATATTTCAGAGCACTACCTCATGGTCAGTTAAAACAAGTTTGTATTGTTTCTAGGATATTGTTCAAGGGTATGTTTTTCAAAAAGTAAGATTGGAAAATTGAAGGTGCATTGTAATCTTATAACACCTGACAGTATTGCTTATAAAACAAAATCGATATCAGCAAAAATCAGAATCAGCTGGTCAGACTTTTTAGAAATCAGTGATCGGTCAGAAAACTGCAATCGGTGCACCCCTATCTGACAGCGTGGGCAGCACGGTGGCTCTGTTGGTAGAGATGCCGCCTCGCAACCAGAAGGTTGCCAGATCAAATCCTTTCCAGGGATCTTTCTGAGTTTGTTCCACTTTGGAGTAAGCTGTTGGGGGAAGAATCAGTTTTGTTGTGTGTTTCCTTGACTGATGAAGTCTTCCGGATTGAAGGCGAAACGTTTCAGCACAAAAAAAGAAACTGTCCAGATGACCTGACTGAAAAATGTTGGATTGTATACCTGGATTATTGAGCATGGACTTTGTTGTTTCTGAGTGGAGTTTGCATGTACGCTCTATGCATGAGTTGGTTTTCTTCTGTTTCCTCCCACAGACCAAAAACATGCATTTTAGGCTTATTGGTAACTAAATTGTCCCTAGGTATGAATGAGAGTGTAAATGGTTGTTTGTCTTTATGTGTCCCTGTGATGGACTTGAGACCTGTCCAGGGTGTCCCCCGTCTCTCACACAGGAACTGTGTGGCCCGGAAGGAAGCAGGTAAAGATGACTGATGGATGGGTGGATGGATCTGACAGCATAGCAATGAAAAAAGGTCCCATGCTTCCTGTATAGTGGCCCTGAAGTTTAAACCACAACTATACAGGTCCTTCTCAAAAAATTAGCATATTGTGATAAAGGTCATTATTTTCCATAATGTAATGATAAAAATGAAACTTTCATATATTTCAGATTCATTGCACACCAACTGAAATATTTCAGGTCTTTAATTGTTTTAACATTGATGATTATGGCATACAGCTCATGAAAACCCAAAATGCCTGTCCCAAAAAATTAGCATATCATGAAAAGGTTCTCTAAAAAGCTATTAACCTAACCATCTGAATCAACGACTTAACTCTAAACACCTGCAAAAGATTCCTGAGGCTTTTAAAAACTCCCAGCCTTGTTCATTACTCAAAACCACAATCATGGGTAAGACTGCCGACCTGACTGCTGTCCAGAAGGCCATCATTGACACCCTCAAGCAAGAGGGTAAGACACAAAAAGAAATTGTTGAACGAATAGGCTGTTCCCAGAGTGCTGTATCAAGGCACCTCAGTGGGAAGTCTGTGGGAAGGGAAAAGTGTGGCAGAAAACGCTGCACAACGAGAAGAGGTGACCGGACCCTGAGGAGGATTGTGGAGAAGGGCCGATTCCAGACCTTGGGGGACCTGCGGAAGCAGTGGACTGAGTCTGGAGTAGAAACATCCAGAGCCACCGTGCACAGGCGTGTGCAGGAAATGGGCTACAGGTGCCGCATTCCCCATGTCAAGCCACTTTTGAACCAGAAACAGCGGCAGAAGCGCCTGACCTGGGCTACAGAGAATCAGCACTGGACTGTTGCTCAGTGGTCCAAAGTACTTTTTTCGGATGAAAGCAAATTTTGCATGTCATTCGGAAATCAAGGTGCCAGAGTCTGGAGGAAGACTGGGGAGAAGGAAATGCCAAAATGCCAGAAGTCCAGTGTGAAGCACCCACAGTCAGTGATGGTCTGGGGTGCGATGTCAGCTGCTGGTGTTGGTCCACTGTGTTTTATCAAGGGCAGGGTCAATGCAGCTAGCTATCAGGAGATTTTGGAGCACTTCATGCTTCCATCTGCTGAAAAGCTTTATGGAGATGAAGATTTCATTTTTCAGCACGACCTGGCACCTGCTCACAGTGCCAAAACCACTGGTAAATGGTTTACTGGCCATGGTATTACTGTGCTCAATTGGCCTGCCAACTCTCCTGACCTGAACCCCATAGAGAACCTGTGGGATATTGTGAAGAGAAAGTTGAGAGACGCAAGACCCAACACTCTGGATGAGCTTAAGGCCGCTATCGAAGCATCCTGGGCCTCCATAACACCTCAGCAGTGCCACAGGCTGATTGCCTCCATGCCACGCCGCATTGAAGCAGTTATTCATGCAAAAGGATTCCCGACCAAGTATTGAGTGCATAACTGAACATGATTATTTGAAGGTTGGCGTTTTTTGTATTAAAAACACTTGTCTATCATTGGTGGGATGAAATATGCTAATTTTTTGGGACAGGCATTTTGGATTTTCATGAGCTGTATGCCATAATCATCAGTATTAAAACAATTAAAGACCTGAAATATTTCAGTTGTTGTGCAATGAATCTGAAATATATGAAAGTTTCATTTTTATCATTACATTATGGAAAATAATGACCTTTATCACAATATGCAAATTTTTTGAGAAGGACCTGTATATTAAAAAACACAACATTTGAAGAAACACAATTATATTAAACAAAATTTTTTATTTGTAGTTGTGGTTTAAACTTCAGGTCCACCTTACTCTTGTAACTGAGTCCTCGTGACTCAATGAGACTAACCTGTATAAATACAGATTGAATGAACATACCACCCTGTGATGCAGGCTCTCTATGATGCACCTATAAAAGTTAGTGAGGATGCTGGAGTTGGTACCAAACTTCTTTAATCTTCTTAGGAAGTAGAGTCTTTGTCAGGCTTTCTTGACCACAGTGTTTCAATGTTCACAGATGACGTGAACATTTTCTGTGTTGTTAAATTATTTAAGGCTCTATATCATTTTTATTCCTTCAGGAAGATACTGTTTGTTGGAACCACCTTTCAAGGCTCTTTCTTTATACGTTTAGCATAGCTGTCATGCTTGGTCAATTTACAAAAATATACTCTTAGCATATTGGTGTATACCTTGCATTAACTTTCCTAAATATTGATTACTAAAATCCTGTTATTTGTAAAATAAATAAATAAATAAAAATAATAATTAAAATGCTTTATTTTTAAAAGAGAACGTCAAGGGCCAGTTGACAACGCTCAAGGGCCTCCTCTGGTCCTTCTTTTTCCACATGTGCTAAAACTTAACAAAAACTTTGTAAATGGTTTTTTTTTTTATTATTATTGCCTGACTATTCAAACTATTTTGAAAGGATTGTTTAAGCAACATGTCCCCTCTGTGTGTTTTTCTCAGCAGCACGAGGGAACAATGGCCCATTATAAGATCGGTGATGTCCAAGCCGTGGCACAGATATTGGATTGTGAGAGTCTGTCGGAGATTTGCGGTGATGCCTTAAATATTGGAGTTCCACAAAAACCCAGAGTGAGAAGAAAATGTGCTTCAAAACACAAACTTCAAGATGCTTCAGGTAGCACTAAAAATGGAGAAAAGACAAAAGGCTGTAAAATGGTCCATAATCCTCGTCGTTACTCTTCGAATGAGAATCTTCACAGTGAAAAACAAGTTGAGACAAAAAGCATCGAGGAGAGTGAGAACGGGACTGAAGACGCCGTTCGGCCAAAGGTAAAGGAAGAAAAGGAAGAGACCTCATTGCTGGAGCCTTTATCTGATGATGACTGGGCATGTGACGTTGAGATAAAGAGTGACGATGAGATGCAGAATAATGACCCCTTGTTTGTATTGGACACTGAGGACGAGGATGAGGAGGAAGATGACGAAGAAGAAGAAGAAGAACTGTTTAAGAGGAAACAACAAAAACCATCCAGGACCCAGTTCCTGTGTAACAAGTGTATGCAGACTTTCCACAATGAGAAAAGCTACTTGAAACACATCAGGTAATGTTTCTCCTGGGCTTTACTGATCATTCTTGTAGTTCAATGACGTGTGCATGATGAGTCCAGTTGGTCAATAAACCAGCTAGTTATAAGCTCTTTTTTAGAATTATAATTAATTTACTTTGTGCCATTTCCTCATGTAAAGCTCCTTAGTCATTTGGGATTTTAATAAGAATTTAAATGGACAAAATATGGTGATTTTGATGTTAATTTGTATAAGAAACTTTAGGAGAAAGCAATGTTAAAGTTGCTGCCAGTGGCTCATTATGATCACCATGGTAACTACATACACCTATGTCTTTCACTCCCAGGAATCAGGCAGACAGAAATGCAGAGTAGGAAGTAAGTCTCAAGTAGTCACTGAACTCCTGAAATGGCAGAAGTGTCTAGTTACCACACATGCACATTTTTTATACTTGTTTTTAGGGATGCACGATATTATTGGCATGGTATCAGTATCGGCCGAAATTAGCGTTAAAATTTAATATTGGATATCGGCCATTCCATCAAAATAACTCGCTGATATAAAAGGCACAAACGCGATGACGTCACACGCACTTACCTGATCTCATGGCGGAGAGGAAAATTCAAAATGTCAGCGGTGTGGAAGTTTTATTTTTTGTTGGTGAGGATTTCAGATTCCGAAGATTTTTGGACTATGTTGAACCTCGCTACATCGTCCCCAATCTGAGATATTTTTCCGACTTAGCTTTACCCGAGTTACAAGCCGTCATTTCCGACGTCATTGAGAAGCTAATAGCCAGTAGCACGTCTTTGGTGAGTTTTACCACAGACATTTGGACGTCTTGTTAGCCCCGTTAGCATGATTAGTCTTAAGGCTCCAGTATACTGCCGCGTATGTCCGTTCACGCGTACGTACGCGTGTACTGTACGCAGAGGGTTCAGACATGATACTCCAGCGTACACCCCGAGCAGCTGCAGAGCAGCTTCACAGACAAAGGGCGTTTACCTTCGGGACAAATTGAGGTCGCCGATTGGTCATTTGCTGACACGCCTACTGGATTGATTGACAGGTCGGAAAAAAGAAAAAAAAAAAGCGAGCGCTGGCAGCCTCTGCCGCGGCGGTGTTCTGTGTTTATATGTTGTTAATAAAAAGATCTAAAAAAATAAATGAAAACAGGGAGCGCTGGCTCTACATCCTACACATCAGACCAGCCCACCAGGAAATCTCCAGACCCTCTCGCAGCCACGCTGGACCTGAGTTTAATTCGCTCGTGACAAATTCCTCCATTTCTCACCATTTCAGTCATGGCATCAACGGAGGAGGAAGAGATCGCTGTCTCTTGGCAAAAAAAAAAAAAAAAGAAAAGGCCAGATCAGGGATGAAGAAGGGGAATTTAATACATTGGTGTCGCATACAAAACAGTCCGTCGCTGGGCAGTTTATTGTGCGACACCGCGTACGCGTATGCGGTTGTAAAAATTTGAGCTTTGCACGGAGGGTACGCTGGGGGGTACGCACGTGCGTACCTCTGCGTATGCATGTACGCGGCAGTATACTGGGGACTTTACGGCACAATAGATAGACAAAAACTTTGAACTTAAAAAGGTTGTCCTTCATGCACAAGAGTGCAGAGGATCCCACACTGCAGCTAGAAACTTAGAACAAGCCTCCACAAGTGAGACAGCATTGCAGGTGACTAATGTTAATAAATAACATTTAACACTTTTCATTCAGACCTCCAAAAATCTAAATGATCTTAAAAGATTCTGTAAAGGCAGCTCCCAATCATCTGACCTCCCATCACAACTTCTTATTAACTCTGTTCCTGTGTCAAATAAGCACAAGATCCTGAACTGTTTCAACAAACATTTTGTCGCTTCTAGTTCTTTATTTGACACAGTTACTAATGGAAAATCAGCAATTTCCCCTAAAAGTCAAACTTCTACAAACCAAATCTCTCCTACAAGTCGGTCTTCAGTAAACCACACCTTTTCTCTTTCCCCGTTCTCAATCAGTGAGGTTAATAAACTACTAAAAGGTCTAGACTCTAAAAAAATCTGCAGGTCCTGATGAACTTCCACCCTATTTCTTAAGGCTGGCCGCTCATATCATCTCAGTGCCGGTGTCCCACATCTTTAACCTTTCCATAAGCCAAAACTCCATTCCAGACGCTTTGCTGAAAGGAGGTGACCCCACCTCACTGAACAACTATCGACCAATTTCTAAACTCTGCATTTTAGCCAAGGTTCTAGAAAAACTGATAAACTCTCAAATAAAAAAATATCTGGACTAATTTAACATCTTACCTCCCCATCAGTCTGGTTTCAAGAAACAACACAGCACAACGACTGCTTCACGGAAGGTTTTTAATGACATAGTTGAAACATTGGATGCTAAAGATTATTGTGCTGCACTTTTCTTAGACCTGTTTAAAGCTTTTGACACTGTGGATAATGACATCTTGTGTTATAAGCTATCAGAAATTGGTTTCTCAGATCATACCATTGGTTGGTTCTCTAATTATCTTTCAGATCGGAGACAATGTGTTCAACATAATGGTATTTCTTCCAGTTATCTAACAGTCAGTAATGGTGTACCACAAGGCTCAGTCTTAGGACCCACCCTCTTTACAGTTGTCGTGGAAACTTTAACAAACAGTGAGATATAAGTTTGCTGAGACTAAATGAAGAGATCAGATCTGATCTTGCAAGTGTTTTTATTTCGGAGGCTCAAACCAGCGTCCGAAGGCTCCCTCTGCCTGCAGTGCAAAGTGAAGCCTCGAACAAAGGATTCACTGACCTTTTATAGGCCTTCAGTTACACATACATTTCCTAATACAGAAGTTCTTAGAAGACAGGATGTTTCAGCAGGTGGTCTTCTTCAGATAAGATAAGGCCTGGAACCTAAGGTCCAAGTCAGGAAAACAGCCAAGTCAGCATTATTTTAACAGTGAGGGGAGGATGAAGGATATGAGCCATTCAAAGGTCAGTGGGTACATTAATGAGTACATGAGATTCGGGATGAAGAAACTCTTTATCAGCCAGAGCTTCTAAGAGGCCCAGGCAAACATGGTGAACACTTCATTGACCAATATGTGACTATAAAAGTTTGCTTAGTGCAGTAGATACATTTTACTTTCTATCACACAATCTACATAGGTAACAGGTCAAAGCATCCCTGATGCATCCTTACATTTCTATGCTGTTGACACAGTTGTTTATTGTATTGTGCGCTAAAACAGTTGCTAAGGCTGTCCAGCTTTTGCAATCTGCCTTTGACATGATCCAGTCAGATTTGTTCCATTTCAAACTTGTCCTAAATGCCGATAAAACCAAAGGGATGCTTTTTTCAAACAGGAAGTCTCTCCTGTCAGTTCTTCCTCTGATTTTATCCTCAAATGTTGTCCCTGTTGAGTTTGTCAATTCCTATAAATATTTGGGTATCTTGGTCGACTCGCATCTCTCCTTTAAGCTTCACGTGGAAAACCTAGTAAGGAAACTGAAAGTTAAATTGAGTTTCCAAAAAAGTTCAATCTGGTCCTCTGGACATTCAAACAAAACAAAAAACAAGCAAACTCCAACCTGTTTTTGGTTTTGTTTGAATGTCCAGAGGACCAGATTGAACTTTTTCGGATTTTTCTACCTGGATTATTGAGCATGCATCAGGATAATAAATTGAGTTTTTTTTTTTCAGAAATAAATCCTGTCTAACTCTGAACGCTAGGAAACTCCTTGTAACTGCGACTTTCCTTCCCTCCATTGACTATGGTGACATTATTTATATAAACGCTCCTACAAGTACTCTGCAGATGCTGAATGCCATCTATCACGGTGCATTAAGATTCATAACTGGCTGCAACTACCGTCCCCATCATTGCACCCTGTATTCACTGGTTAACTGGTCATTATTAGCCTCACACAGACTCTCCCACTGGTACATTTTCATCTTTAAATCACTTCTCGATTTGCTGCCTTCATACATCTCCTCCTACATGGCTCTGCGCGAGTGCAGCTACAGTGTGCGCTCTCAGGACATTATTACATGCAGTGTTCCCTCAGTGCGGACTGAACTAGGCAATATCTTGCAAAAAGACCTGAATCTCTCAACCCTGAGTAACTTTAAACATCGGTGAAGTTCCTGGCAAAAACCAATGCAGACATGGTCCTGTTTTTAGTGTTCTAAATCACCTTATAATTTAGCTGTTTTTTGCTACTATTCCTCTTGACTGAAAAATGTTAGATTGTATACCTGGATTATTGAGCAGGGACTTTGTTGTTTTCAACCAGTTTGACACGACTGTCAACAAGGCAGAGGGCCGGCAATGGAAGAGGGGCCGTACCAAAGAGACCATCTTATCACAAACAGAACTGGTTTGTTCCACTTTGGAGTAAGCTGTTGGGGGAAGAATCAGTTTTGTTGTGTGTTTCCTTGACTGATGAAGCCTTCCGGATCGAAGGCGAAATGTTTCAGCACAAAAAAAGAAACTGTCCAGATGACCTGACTGAAAAATGTTGGATTGTATACCTGGATTATTGAGCATGGACTTTGGTGTTAAATTTGTTTACCTATGCCCATTTGATGACTGTCTGTTGTTGTTGTTGTTATTCACTGTTGTCATCACTCTTTGTTAAGAAAGCAGGTCTTTTGTAAATGAGGCCCCGAGGCTCAGTGGGATTAATCTGTATAAATAAAGGTTGATTGAAAAATTTTATATAAGCTAAAGTGCTATGCTGAGCAAAATAAATGGACTCAATGTTCCCTCGCCCGGACGTGGGTCACTGGGGCCCCACTCTGGAACCGGACCTGGAGGTGGGGCACGCTGGCTAGCACCTGGTGGCCAGGCTTTTACCCATGGAGCTCGGTTGGGCACAGCCCAAAGAGGAGATGTGGGTCCCTCTTCCCATGAGCTCACC